AGAGGATGGGGGGGGGGGGTATAGGGGTTTCGCCTCCGGCACCCCTTTTTTCCGTTGGTCGACGGAGCTTTTGGCACCAATATTGTTCTCGTCCGACCCTGAGCAGCGTTCGTTTGTCCTAACCAGCGGAGATATCAACAGCCAGGCCTTCTGCAACCCTCGTTTATGCCAAATTTAGGATCGGAGAATCTTGCACGGCAAACCCCCTTCCTTTTCCGGCGTATTGGGGTCCCGCGGGTTGGTGGACGGGGGGGGGGAGGGGGTAGGAACATTCGACTCGAGAGAGAGACGGAAAACATTTTTTCGCAAGTACCTCCCGCCAGTACTCGCGGTAGATTGACTCCGCCGTAGTCTCCCTCGTTACCGGGTAGCCCACAGTCCAAATGACGGGCGAAGAAAATATATATACATATTCACAAAAAAATGCGGGACAACTTCAACGAAACGGTTTCATACCTCCCGCCAGTACTCGCGGTAGATCGACTCCGCCGTGGTCTCTCTCGTTACCGGGTAGCGGACCTGACCCACCGGAAGACCCGCTCTAGAGGCGTCCACGCTGAAGGGACACACCCCCATGTCCGTGATCACTGCACTCCGGAAGGTCGCAGCAGGGAGGGGTGTACGCATGAAAACGCATGCCGTAGTAGTTAGACCATGGACCTCGCATCGCCGGGACGGAGCGAAATGCCGGGTTGGGGGTATACGAGAGGCAGAAGGGAGGCCATGCATTATTTTGCTGCTGTGTTTTTGTTGCCTTCTTGAGTTGGTTGTCCGAGGGCGCACGACCTCCGCTTGTCAGCTTCTTCGGTTAGTGTGACATAGTGTGGCACGGAAAATGTGTGATGTGACCGACGCCTTACCATAGCTGCTAAGGAGTATAGCATACCTGGTAGATGCAGCATAGGGAGTGCCAACGACGGTCAAACCAAAAGGGCACATGTCCTACACACACAGCAAAAAAAAAATTACACACACGAAGCGCCCGTTTCTATTCCGACGCTCATCGCTACAGCCCGCGAACCATTTTCCGCGCCTCAACGTGGCAAGCAAGCTCCACGAATGACTCATTTTCGTTCATGACCAAGAAGGAGAAAACAAACCTTTGTGGAAAAACAAGCTTTTCGGACGACGAAGAGCGCAAACAATGCGAAGACCCCCGAGGAGAGTGTCCACAACCCCCGCCCTCCCCCCCGTTTCCTTCGCTCTCGTCTCTCACCAGCCTGCACCCACGACTTGGTGAGCTCCTGCACCTCCTCGTCCGACGAAGGCACCACGCTCAAGGCCGCCGCGTCCACCCGCACCACCCCGTCCTCGTCCCAGTCCCCTCCGGCGGCCCCCTCGCCCTCTGCCTCGTCGTCGTCCAGGAGGCTGCGATCGATGTCCCAGTCGTCGTCCCAGTCGGGATCGTAGCCGAAGTCGTCCCCCCCGCCGGCGCCGGGCACGACTTGAACCTTTCAACCCGCGGAGTTCACGGGACGGGATACGGAACGACAGAAGCAAAATAAGCATGCAAGCGTTCCGGTGAAATGCGGGACGCGGGGTGCGGAACCAAAGAAACAAAGAGGCATGCATCCACCGTTCCGGTGGTATACGGGACGGGCTATGGAACGAAAACAAGAAAAAAGAGGTACGCAACCGTTCCTGTAAAATACGGGACGGAGTACGGGACAACGACAAAGACAACGACGCACGAAAAAAAGCATAAGCTAAGAGAGACGTGCCCCCTGCCACGGGGCCGACCACGACGTGTATTGCACCCCTACTTATTTCTCCCCAGGCCCTTCCTCTATGCGGAACAGGGGGGACGGAGGGAATGAAGCCTCTGCAACACGCTGGGTCAACCCACACACGACTAGGACCTTTTCCGTCACGAACATCTACGGGGGCAAAAGGGGTCTGCGGTACGCGGCAAAGCGGCACGACTGAAAACGATCATCTGGGACATGGTGACAAGAACCGAATGCGAAAACAACCACACGATGGCAAAAAAAAAGGAGAACCTGCGCAGCATACGTGTGCTTGATAGCGTGTGGGATGAAACGGCCGTGGCTATTCACAGCGCGTTTTGGCGCCGGCCACGGGAGGACTATGGAAGATAAATGCCACACCACAACGATCATGAATGCCGTACACAGGTATTCCCATAAAAAAAAAAAGGCGAATACCAATGGCACGCATTCACGGAAGACAGCGCACAAAACCATGCAAATAGATCCCCAAGGCATCGCCCCCAAGGGCAAGAACCAGGAAAAATGCCTGGGACACGAATCCGCAACCCTCCCCGGCCGCAGGTCATCACCACACGGCGTGAGGCCCACGCCACCGCCACCACCACCTCTCTCTCTCACCACCAGCGAGGGAGCGGGGGCACCGGTCCTGCCCCCCCTGGGATGCGGGACGATCGACACCATCGTTCCGAACTGTTCGCAAGCGTCCTGGCACACCTGAACAAAAAAAATGGCGGGGGATACGTGATTGCGGTTGTCGAAGAACACCTCTCGGGGTGTGTGTGTGTGCCTACACGAGTTTCTCGGGCGCCTGCACGAAGAACCTGACGGGGGCACGTTTGCCTCGAGTTTGCCGCATATCATGGGGGTCGCATCCGCGGGTAAAGTTCTCGCTGCGTTGAAAGTGAGGTGCGAAGGAAGCTCACCTATCCCAAAGGGGATTGATTCACTGGCAAGACCAATGGCAAGACCAAAGCTCTACAGCAGTCAACATTACCCAGGAAACAGCAGCATGAAGCAACAGTTCAGGGGAGCGAGCCTAAAGACAAAAAAAAACTAATAAACGAAAGCAAGATAGACAACGACGACGAGAGAAGAAAAACAAACATCCTCTCAGCCACTACCGTAGCCACCTACGCGAAACTCGAATGGTAATGTTCGTAAAGGTGCTGGAGGCACTGAGGAACCCTCCACTACATCTTCTCCAAGTGCAACTGCCGTACCTCAAGGTGTTCGTACAAATTCTGAAGGCCTCGCGCCTCGGCTACCGCTGGGCAGTCCGGAAACATCAAGACTCGCGGCCGCTCTGCCTCTGCCGCTGACGGGTCTGCCAGGGTCTCCCACACGTCCGCGAGCAGACCTGACAGCCTCGTCGCCTGTGTTCATCCGCGTTTCGACAAAAACAACACGGGGACACGGGGAAAAACATAACACGATTTACGTTGTCTTGTGAAGGAGACGGGAGGGTAAGAACAAGACCGGGGGCATCCAAGCAAGAGCGACAACAATACCACGGTCGTACACGAGAAGCTGGAGGGGCAGTCATAGAGTATTCCCTCTTTGAAGTGGCAAACCTGTGGGATATCCACAAAAAAAAGGACTGAAAAAAAAAGATTGGCCCAGCAGAGACCTCAGCGTGCAAAGGGGGTGTCCTGCAAAGGGGGTGTCCGGAAGCACCCATAGCGACGCGAGAGCCTGTACTACACACGTACCAAAAGAAAGCACTCGCAACACCGCATGCCGGAGTCACGGGTTGACGACAAATAGCCATTGTTGCGCTGCTGCTGCGGTAATTGGCGGTTGAACAAAAAACGACTAGCTAAGCAGTCAAGCTGGTGGATATCGGTTTTTGGGCGTCTACGGTCTCAATAACGAGGGGTTGTCTTCCCTCCAATACCGTATTTCAATCGGCGAGGCCGACAAACGCAGCCTGATCAAGGAGATTCTCATTCTCAGACGTTTCTGCTCCACACGCTGCCTCCACTTTCAGCACATGGTAGGACACCGGTCCAGATCAAGTTCCGAGGTAAGGCCGCTTACGGGATGGTTACTCCTATCCGCAGGGCCTCCACAGATAAAAGACTGATGGGTTTGCAGGGAGAAAAAACACCGCTTACGACATGGTTCCTGCGGGATGGTCATCAGGACAGGACGTTTCATTCTTGGACACCGATAAACTTCAACTTCCGATACAAGACCGACGAGGCCGACGAAGTGTTTCTTATTCATACTTGTACGCCATGCACGGATCACAGAGGTCGGAATTCGGAATATGTATGTGGTTTGTAGGGACAGAGAAAACTGCAGGATGGTAATCAGCACAGGACATCCGCTGGCCCGGTGTCCGGCACACCGCTTGTGTGGCGTCTACACCAGTCTACCCCGGTGATCATCGGGGCAGAACTGGGGGGAAACGTTCTATGACACTGCTGGAGAGCGCAATCCTGTTCAGTACACACATGCCGAGGTCTGCTATCGTATCTAGCAGCTCACGGCTTGGAGTACTTTGCCTCTTCCTCCCCATGCTTGTTGTGGCATTTCGAGACAACATACATCATGCCGTCATCATGACGCTACAGAAAGAGTTACAACTCGTTCGAGACAATTCTCAGAAGGGATGTGTTCAAGACTTGCAGTAATGTACAACAATAGCAGTAGTGAGTGCCTCCTATACTGCTGTACATACCGTCGTGTTGGACTCTTGAACATTGGATGCTACTGCTGTAGAAAGGTAGCAGTGGAGTGACTACTGCTGCTGCTGTGGATAGTTACCGTCGTGTTGCAGGTTAAACAGGTTGCCAACCAGCACTTGACGCTTGACACGATTAGTGGAGCAGACCGACCAACCATTTGCGCATGTAAACACCACCCCGTTTTCAACCGCTGCACGAGACGAGCAACATAGGCCACTAACTACACCTCCGATAACCCCCAGTATACCGGTCGTGCCCTGTTGGGTTGTGGTCTGCGGCAGGCGGCTGTTCACCGTCGACGGCAGTGTTGAAAGGAACAGGTGCGGTCAAGGGATTGATGGTGCAATATATATTTCAATTTTAAAATTTACGTGTAGGTTTATCTTGCAAGCGATCCTCGTCGACTTTCAATAGGTGGTTGCGACTACAAGGAGGCGTGCATGCAAGCTGTTTGCGAGAGGAAGATGGCCGAAGATGCACAGCGACGTATGCCATGCGATGTGGTGGTTGATGTCAACGGCAGGGAAGGTGAAGACGGCTGTTGAACCTGAGGTACTGCAGTCTACTGCACAATCCCACACACACCTTGGATAGAACCGTCGAGCAGCCGGGGAATTGGCTTTCGGCCCAGGCAAGCTCTTCCTTCGCCGCTACCGAATCTTCCTCCGCCGTAGCCGCACCCTCCATGGAGATACGACAACTGCTACCCTTGCCACCTCGCCAACATGAAGAAGCGCGGTTGGACCGCACACCAGCAGATGCATGAACCGAGGCGCGGAAGCCCGCAGGGGACAGAACGAACCCTTGAGAGAGGGAAATAGAGAGAAACACAGCCAGCAAGGCGGACCACGCCCACATCTTTGATGGCGCCATGCCCTTTGTCTTTCTCCTATTGATCGAGAGTGGTTGCCCCTGGCTGCTGCAACGGCCCCTGTTGGCGGATACGCAGGTTCGATTCTGAAAAATGTGGGTACCCGGGTCTCCCAGTTGCGAGCCCCCGGATCGAAAGTTCATTGGAAAGTTGGAAAGTCATCACAGACCTTGACGCAGGTCGAAGTGATCGAGGAACCTGTGCGACAGACAACGTGTACGGGCGAGGTAACGCGTGTCCTTCGCTGCCCCTTGCCCCCTCTTTGTGTTTTGCGTGTTCCTCTATCTTGTCTTTACCTTGCCTCTCCTGGATCATCAACGAGACATCGAAAGCTGCTGCCTCAAGCAAGGATGCGGTGTGTCTTCCATGTTGTCCGCATCACCTCCTCCCAGATTTGAAAAATGAAATGCACCATCCGGGAGGAGCAGGTTGTATCAGCAAGCCTACTACTCGGTCGTCTTCTTGCAATAACCACATCAACTTTCACTGCGTCGTCTCGCGTTGCTCGGTCTCCACAGGCTCCTTGGTGTGCGTGTATTTCGGCACAAGAAGACCGTTTCCGCACCGGCGCGCCTGATGAACTTGTTCTCCAGCGGTGATGTTCACCTCTTGACGAGATGCTGCTCCGGCGACGAGGTCACGCCAGCACTGGTACAGGCTATATGCTCATCCAAGTCTGCGGGGGTGCTCCGGGTGCGTACACGATGACGATGCGGGCGACGCAGAGGGAGAGAGGGAGACAGGGGCGGAGGTTGACTTGAGCGACGAACAATTTTGAAATCCGACAATTTGCTGTGTTTGGCCGTCTTCTCACTGTTGTTGTCCATGTCCCCTCTTTCGTGTGGTCCGTGTCCGTCTCCTGCTGCTGTGTGAAGGGGGACGTTGTACGGATGTTCACACCTGCGGGGTTAACATTGGCAAAGAACGGTCTATCTGGCACGGAAAAACGTGTCTTCACTAGCAGTTGGAAACACATGATATGACGTACATACATCTCACCGTTTTTCAGTTTCACTATTTTTTTTCACAAGACAGCAGTTTTCACTCTTCCATCCCGGAGTTTAATCCCCCAAGGGGAATTTCACTCGGAATACATGCATATGAGCCTGCAATGCATGAACAACGTTGCGTGGATCGTCTCCTACTTTCGTCCCCCGAACGAGGTGCAGACAGCGACCCGGACAGTCCAGGTGTATTCTCATCTGACCCGATTGCGTGGGCATAAATGTGTATCATGGCAGGAGAGCATGCCATAATCGTGGGTGTACCACATGGGACGAAAGCCGACTGCTGCAGATACCATTCAACGCACGTTTGGGCTGCGTACTTTCAATTTTGCGTTGGGAGGTATTTCTGTAACCTTATGCGTGGCAGGAGTACAATAGCGTATCAGGGCAGCGAAGCATAATCACGAGGAACACTTGAATATTCTCTTCATTATTCCTGTAGAAGATCATTGCACCAGGGAACTGCTTTCATGACGCTGACAGATCTTGATGAGAATCAGGACCGTATGCTGGGTGACTATTTGGCGGTCGCGCATGCGACCGAGCAGCTAGGACGACTTGTTGCGTTCCTTATGATTTCACGGCGAATGGCCTCTACCGGCCCTCGAAAGCTCAACACACTTCAGAGGCCGCCGCCAGCGTTTCACTTCTTGTTTCACAACATTGGCTCGCTACGATCGTTCTCCGCCAGCCTTGCCACGTACGATTGCTTTGTCAACGTCTGTCTGCTTTGCTACAAGCGGGTTTTCGTCAACGTACCCATTCTTTCCCCCGTGGTGCCAGGACTTTATCCCTGTCATATGGGTGAGCCCCTGAGAAAGTGAACCCGTACGACGGTGAGCCCGTGAGCCCCTAATTTTCTACAGTGCCTACAACAATAATGTCGCCAGATTGTCCAGGATCGTCTCCTCGCTGGCGATCCCCAAGAGAGCGTCGGCGCTTTCGCTTCCGGCCTGGCCCGAGCACTTGGCAAGCTCCGCACCGCCACCGCTAGCCGGGGTAGCAACCTTGACTTCTCCGCCAAGAAACGCCTTCTTCGAGCGGCGGGACTGTGCGTTTCGAAGGTCCTTCAGACTGGTCAGTGGTGTGCAGATACCAAGGGCAGTCGGGGCCATCCCCTAAACAATATCATATCTCCTGCCACAACCTCCGGATGTGTTTGTTCGATTGTCCCACTTCAACCCACGCGGCACCCGCTCCGAAAAATGAATGGGAACGAGAGAGAAAGCGAGCGAGGAAGTGCACCGCACGCATGGGAGTGCTCGACGCCTTAGCTCTGACACCCTGAGCAATAATGAAGGGGCTGACAACACGAGCATCGCTTAATGAAGAACACAACGGCACCGCGAGAAAAAACAGAAGTCAGTCCTGGCAGTCTTCCCCCCGCTCTCCCGTCTTTTCTGGGTGCCGGCCCGTCGCCAATCTCAAACCGTTAAGCAGATCTACCCGACACGGCAAGCGCGGAGCTGCACCGAGGCCTTCGGCGGCCGGCGTTACTGCTTGCCCTTGTGGGCATTGTGCAGGACAACAAGGCGGGATCCGGGGCCCAGAGAGCGGCGGGGTCTGCCCTAGTGGCGTTTTGCGACGTGAGTTCCGTTGCAGCTGAATGATTTGGGTGTTGTTGCTCGTGCAGCGCACGAATGTCGCACCCGCCCTCTCAACTGTTATACTAAGTCCCGTTGTGCTGGTGTCGTATTTGCATCTGCGCGCTCACGAACTTTTTCCTCACGGCAGAAACCACGTAGATGCCATTGTTGCTGTTATAGTTGTCGCCATGCTCCCATTTCTCTCTCCCCGTCGTGAACCGTTGCCCCCGGTCGAAACGGGGCCAGAGCTCGCCAGGCCTGTGGAAGGAGCTCGCGAAGGAAGTTCGATCCAGCAAGACGCTCCTTCAGGGCTTCCTCAAGCCGGCTTCGATGCTGGCTTCGATCGCTGACCACCGCACGCAAGAATTAGTCTTCGAAGCTCTCTATCGCCTGTGGAAGGCAAGCCTACTGCATCGCGTATATGTGCTTGTGATTGTGCTCCTCGTTTTTCCGAAAGTGGTAGATAGCTTTGACTGGCTTTCCAGCCTTCGGAGACCCTTACCGTCCTTGGTAGGAATACTGGTTGCGACGGTCTTGGGGTCTCTTTTGTGGCAATATGGGGGCTACTCACTTGCATGGTGTTTCCAGGACCACCATGTGAGGCGCCTCGGTTGCACCTCCACGTGGAGCTTTTGATTCCCGCTCTTCCCCAGGATGCAGAGAACCCACTCGTAGGCCATACCGTTACTTATTTCTAGCCAGGGTAGAGTAGCATACGACAGGTGATGCTGGAGAGAGGGTCAAGACGATATTCTCTCCGTGAAGACGAAAGCGTTAACAACAGCAGCGACAGCAAAGGCAATAATCACACAAACACCGACAAGGTCAGAAAGGAAGATATGGAAGTGACAATGATTTGTTCTACGGTTGAACGTGCCCACGACAACCCCGAACGAATCCGCCCCAAGGTGTGGAAGAAGCAGCGCGGCGGGCCGCCGCAGCTTCCCCCCTCAACCCGCCGCGAGATAGCAGAGGGCTTCTCCTCCATCACCATCGACGACTTCGAAGGCCAGACCCGCGCCATGCTTGCAGCAGTCAACAGCAGGCCCAACGGAGACGATGGCGAGGACGGTGAATATGACCCAGAAGAAGACGAAAAGGGCTGGCTTTCCCCCCCATCGTCTTTTCCAGTGGAAGCCCTGCTTCAGGTATCTAGAGGTCTTGTTGGCGCTTATGTGCATTGGTGGAGGGGTCGGTTGGGGCGAGGCGGGGGGACATGGTCCTGGGTTGGGCCGTCGGCTGGATGTGGGCTTCCCGTTCGATTCCGGGCACGGTTGTAGACGACCCGCTGGCGGACGACGACGAGAAGGCTTGGGTTGCCCGGCACGTTCGGAAGGCATCCTGCCGGGAGTAGATTGGCATCGTCGTGGTCGGCACTAGCCCGGGTAGGGCGATCGTAGGACAAACACTGGCGTTGCAGCCTGTCAAGCGGGGGGAATGCAAGCACAACAAGGCTTGTAGCCGTTTCTGAATGAAACCTTCGAAACACACGGCCTTGTTTTTGCCCGTGCAGGTAGGTCCCAAGTGCTTGCCATCCACTCGAGGATCCCGAGTGATTCTCATTCGACCCGCTTTGTTTTGCCGAACATCCGCGAAGGTTCTTCAGTTAATTCCAGACCACTCAAATATGTACTTCAGAGGGGACCCGAGGAGGTTTCGGCGGTCTCTCACATCATGCATCATTACCCAATGTTATTCGTTCGTCGCACAGGTGACCGAGTGGCGAGGGCTAGGGCTGCGTGACCGCCTCGGAGAGGCACACCACCTCGACATAGGGGGTGACTCCATTAGCATCCAGGTATGACCTTGCTTCACACCATGTGCCCGACACTGTACATGGGCGTGCTTCCCCCGCCCCTCTCCCCTTCCGAACATACCGACGTACCAGCAGACCCAGTTCTTGCACGTTCACCCGCGGGCAACACAACACGAACAGTTAATCGAGTGCCCGTTGGGTGGTTTGCCAGTGTATCGGGACGCGCGATTGGCTACGCGGGCGTAGACTCGGTCGGCCATGTCCCTCTCAGGAGGGCAGTAGTTGTCAGACCATACGGCGCGCAACCCCGGCACGAAACCTCAAGGAGGCGATTTTCTCGGCCTCTCTGGCCTCTTCTACACCCTGGCAGGAAGAGTTACGATGTCGGGGGGGGCGGCGGATTCACTCCTGAAAACGCATCCCGTGCAATTTTCCGTCGACCTATTGGATTGGCATTCTTCCCCCACGTTAGGATATTCCTTGTGCAGGGTGCACAGCAGAAGGTGTTCCATCTGTGACTCTTGTAGCTCCTCAGTTGGGAGAGACGGGGGCGTGAGGGCAAGTTGAAATGAGCCAAAGATTATTCGTTTTCCAAGGCGTGGAGCCCATGACAGATATTGACAGCTCTTGCGGGACGAAATCCTTGCATGTTTCTGCGCCAAATCGTTTAGAAGATAGTTAGTGCTGATCTTCCGGAGGCGGGGGGTCGCACCTTTCGTCTGTTTTTCTTTATCCCCCGGTCGAACAACCAACATACATACACAAACAGTAGAACAGCACGGCTTGGAAGTTTTTTATTGTTGTCGTCATCGGTGTTGCTCCTGCTATCGCTGTCGTTCACGGTATTGCTTCTGGGTTGGTGCTTCCTTGACGAGTGCGTCTATTCATGGTCCAACTTTGCCTCATTTTTCATCCGAATGTTTTTTTCATGGCTGTACAGGTCTACCCAAAGGCATCCCCGGGGAAAACCAGCGGAACATCGACAGGAGGAGGTGGCGTATTCATCAGCATCCCGGCAGAAACAGTAGCCGCGGCGAGCAAGGTGCTGGTGGGGGCTAGGTCGCTACAGGTGGACGTCTCCCTGTCCGAGGTAATGCCATCAAACCAGGGGAAAAACAGTAGCAGCAGCAGCAGCAGCAGCAGCAGCAGCAGCAATCGCAACACCACCACCACCACCACCACCACCACCACCACCACCGCCACCGCCACCGCCACCACCACCAACAACAACACCCGCAACATCCGCAACAACACTACCATCAGCATCAGCAGGAACAACCACGTCCTTTGCTGCTCAAGAGTAACGATACGCCGCCACCTCTTATTGCCCCCCCCCGTCTTGTTTCCTGCGGTTCCCCTTCGAGACAGCGCGTTTTGCGCCCTGTATTTTTCTGCGGACTATCTACAAGCCCCGCTACTTCCTCAACCTGCCACATGTTCTCCTTGGCAATACGTATCTGCAACAATATCTGGTGCAAATTCAAATCGATTGCTCGAAGCGCGTCGGTGATTGGCCGAAAGTTTCTCACGGTCATCACGTATCTTTCCTCGTACTACGAAATTTCTTGTGAACTGTTGCTGTACTCTGCCTTACTGTGTGGAAGAAAATACCTAATTATTTTTGCTCTCTAGCTGGACAGAATGGAACAGCCGCTCGGCTGTTGAGTAATTTTGTTCGAGTTTCGCGTAGGTGGTGACGCCAAGAAAATTCGGTAAAGACCAAGAGCATGCGCGTTTCGAAATTTCGGAATTCGTTCGTTCTCCAGATCCCATGCCAAACTGGGGCATATTTTCAGATGATGTGGTCTACGACTTCGAACCCACCGCTGCCGCTACCAACCATTGCACCATCCTTGTCACTATCAACAATACCAGCAACAGCAACCACGACAACGCCTACAACAGTTACAACAACAACAACACGGACACACACACATCACACAACGGCACTCGTAATAACGGCATCACCTACCCTCCCACCCTCCCACCCCTGAATAGTGTCCAGCCCTGGCAAGACTGGTCCGCACCCCCCCAGAAGAGAATGCGGCAACCGCGAACTGCACGATCATTATTCAGCTGGAGGGTGGCTCACAAATGTTCAGCCGGTTCAGACAGGTGATTCACCACTCCTGCGGGGGGCACGCAAACCGTCGCGGTTGGATGAGATACTTGGGCAAGGGGTGCTTTTGGCCGCTGAACAGCGGTGCTTGGGCGTGGGAACGTTATGGACAACGTAGGGGGTCTTGCTTTAGGTGTTTAACAACCAAGTCGAGGCGTTCGCGGCGTGAGGTTGGCGCCCAGTCGAGCGAAAACGGAACACACCCACGCCGCAGGTTTGTAGAGATGCGAGCGTTTCCCTCGACAGGACACCGAGCGAGAATACCAGCCTCGCGCTCCTTCACCCTCTCGAGAATGTGGTGGGATCAAAGGCAATCGCAGGAATACTTTCCACGGATTTGCCGAAGGATTAGCCGCACCTGTCGCAGTCCTTTCTTAGATTCGAGCTTGGATTTTCCGCAGTTGCAAGAGTGCTTATTTCCGCCTTCCCTGAAGGCTATTGGGTTTTATGCTGATTCAAGCGAAGGGGAACCTCGATGTCTCACTGATTCACCACGGGGAATCGCAGGTATCGTTCCAAAACCACAGCCCCCGTTACTTCAGCCCCCCCAACTACCGCCCTCGCCCCCGTTATCCTTTCCTCCGCGCGGTTTCAAGGCCATCGCTGCTTTGAAATCCAAGGTTCCCGATGTGGCCAAGGAGGCCAAGCCTAGCAGGGGTTCCAAGTCAACCAAGGGTTCCTCGGCCCTGGAACACGCGGAGGTTTTCAAGCCTTCCGATGAGTTGGAAGGAGCCGAGGGCGTTGAAGAGGACCTCGACGATGACGACGAAGAGGGGACGCAGACGAACCACAGGAAGCGACCTAGGGCCGTATGTGGCTTGGCCGGCTCTGTGAGCAACCGGGTGAGACGCTGCGTGTGGGGAGAATACGCTCTCGACTCGTTCCCGCTCGTGGCGACCTCGGCTGACGGGCCCAACCCTTGCCTATTTTCGTGCCATTCCCCTTTTTGTGCCAACCGCCAGCAGTCACAGGGATTTTCAACCCCTCACTGTTTCATGAGGCGGTTCGAGACGCGGCAACACCCTTCCTCCTCGCACTCATCGCTTGTGATTTGAATCGTGTTGCATTCGTAAAAGGTGGATATTGTTCGGCACACGGCCAACACGTTGTTCTCTGCTGCGCTTGCCATGTTGACGGAGCATACCGAGCCCACCCCCCGCCAATACGCATACGCGTACCAACCCCTAAATGCATTTTGATCCACCCCACTTGCATCGTGGCTACCACTGCCATTCCCACACATGCTTGTCACACTTTAGTTTGCCCTTATGTACAGTGTCTAATTAGCCTGGAGGACTTTTTATGCTTGCGACCCACATAAACAATGCTTTGGCTTTTATCTCTCGTCGAACCAGCACCGCTAAACAGTCTCACAAAATATTCTGTCCACCCAGGCCCGGCATTCAAACTAGAAAAAAGCTCGCTCCACGTCGAAGCACAGCGGAGTGACCATGCCTTCCGATGTTCCGTCTCGTTTGAACGACAAGTCTCGCATCACGCCCCGGAAGGACGGGCGCAGGGATAGCGACCGGGGAGGGGAAGACCAAACCGCCTCGAGGGAGAAGGCTAGCTCGGGTCGCAAGGTAGGCAAAAGTAGCTAACCATAGTGGTGTTCTGATGGCACGCGCGTGGTTGGTTTCCCTTTCGAGTATCGGGCGAGGGCTACGAGTTGGACGGTACTGTTCAGGGGAAAAGTTCGTCGCTACACTGGTTGGTATCGATACTGAGCACGATGGCTGCGCTGGATGAACAGAGGCTAGAAACGATTATTTTGGCGGGGACCAGCAGCAGCAGCAGCAGTACAACAACAACAACAACGACGACAACAGCCAAAGCCAGGCGGGCCGAACAGCGTTTCATCGACGACAGACTTAGAACCTTTCCGGCGTTGCTGCGGGAACCGGTCGACGATGCTGGCGACTCTTTGCATGGCCATGTTTCTTGTAGAACATATAGGCGATGGCGTTCAACTACTCGGGGTGTTGCCGTCATCAGGATGTATAGGGTGATCAAAAGTTGTCCGGTACTTCCATCGTTGACACCCGTCGTGCCCTCGTTCTTTACGTTCTGAGAACGTACCAAAAAACGGTTTAACGCCCTTTGTTCCAGAGAACTGGGGTCGGAATATATTGCACCTTTTCCCCGATAAGCAACGGCGCGTCTACGTAGGAGGAATTTTTCAACGGCATTCAGCACTTGGAACCTTACCTCTACGCGTTCCGGGTGGAACTGATCGTGCGGAGGAATGGGGTTCTCGACGAACCACAATTTCAAATAGTCCCATCCCTGTTCACACGACTAACATCATATGCGAACCAGTTCTTGCTGCCAAGAGGTTTCACGTTAGAAACTGCTCCGACCCTAGTTTTGACACGGGCCGCTTGTCTATGTGCGCGTGATCTTCTTGAATCTAAAGGCCACGAGTCAGTCAAGAGCTGACACCTGTACTTTGAGACGTTGCCATGGGAGGATCCTGCAGTAGGTCATTTGGATTAGTGCCCACAACCCGCCCCGCGTGAGTATTTATTTGCGTCGTGCACGCATACACGCACGAAGTTATTCGTTGCTTTAGGATTGTCCCTTTCTTTGTCAATCTCTCTCTCGTGCTCTTCTCCACAACCCCTCTCCTCTTCGCCCCCCTCCTTCCCTCCGCACTTTCTGACTCGATCTCTTCTTCTCCTCTCTCTCGCCCTTCTACCCCGCTCTGTCTCCGCCATGGCCGGTCACACAGGCAAAGAGGGCGCACAGGGCGCCGCTCAATACGCCAACAGATTCACCCGTCTCGGCCCCGGCGGCGGCAGCAAGGGTGAACACAAGCACAGCGTCTTCTGCGGAAAAGAAGCGGATCACGGACCACGCGAAAGGCGAGGTACCGACCCCGGTGAGAGCATGGCCACGGAAGATGACGGCTTTTCAGGCGACGCGGGTCGTGGCTGCGTCTTCGACAGTATCTCCCCAAGTCCTCCACCCTCTAGGCGCCTGTAAGAGCGGAGTTTGGTTTAATGACGGGGGAGTTCCATTTCACGCCCCACCACCGACAACCGGGAGGGTAATGGTGGTAGTTCGTCGGGAGGCTCTTGTGTACGGAGGGCGGCCACTTCCAAGGACAGACACGGTTCCAGATGTAGGGGTACTCCTTTGTCGTCGAGGCAATATGTACACTTGTATGGGTGAGTTGTGCGCACGCTTTTTTGGCGCTGTTCGGCAGAAGTACATGAGAGAGAAGTAGAAAAACGTGGATGAGTGTATTGTGGGCTATGGTCTTTCGCGGTTGGGTAAGACGTATGGATGGGGCCGAGCAACGAGGCACTCGTTCTGTCAGGGAGTGGGGCATGAAATTTGTAGTGCGTTTGGGTCTTTTCCCGACCCCAACCAGTCTCGCCCCCCAGGATCATTACTTTGGGGGCGAGAAACGAAGCCGTAAATGCCGTGTGATTTTCACTCAATGCCAATGAACCGCAACGTAAAACGGTTGTACGAAAATTTTTGGTGATGTTTTGGCATTGGCGCCTCGTTTCCCAGCAGGAACGGGGCTACATATCCATGTTTCGAAGGAGACATGGTGAGATGACTATTGCACCACCCCTCCTTGTTCTGCACACCTACAACGGGCACATATCTCTTCCCCAGATCCCACGTACCCTAACAACTTCCATTCGCATCCTCGAAACTCTTCCCCGCCGATTCAGTCCTCCACGTGCATTCATGAAGCATGCCTTGTTCGCTCGACATCAGTTTCTCTGACTTTCTTTTCGCTTCGGGTGGTCTAACAACGCCACGACACGTGTCGGCAGGCGGCCGGTTCCTTCAGGAGGATCGCCCAGGGCGCCGCCGTGACGGCTCATGACTCAAGCCTTCAGGCCAGGGAAAGCTCGGAAGGGAGCTCCAGGAGTTTTTCCGACGACGCCGACGCCACGGCCGCCCGTGATGATGACGGCGGGGACTCCTGGATGGCTCCCCGCCGGCACCTCGATCTCGCTCCAGCATCAGCCACGGCCAAACGGAAGGTAGGCACGGTTAGGGGAATTGCTGCAGAGCTGACGACTAAGGGGTCAGTTCTACAGTAGACGCCATCCCGCTCAGGGCATGATATTGTGAGGCGGTTTAGGAGAACATGGTGTCCCGCAGGATGCATCGTTTCCCTGCGGATGCCGCCACGAACAATCTCGCCGCTTTAGGAAACATGACACATTTCCTCCTGCACGTTCTAACGGAGGACAAGCAGGCGCGTACCAAGACAGGATCCAGAAACAGGGACGGCTCTGGCAAAGTGCGGGCGGCCAAGGGAGATGGCGGATCGTCCCTCCGGGGTGGGAGCACCGAGTGGGATATCAGCGAAGACGACGGCGGTGACGAAGGTCATTGTGAGAAGGGCAGTGCCGGGCGCCACCGCCTTGAGGAAGTGACGCCCAGGAGCAAGGCCAAAGCCAAGCCGAGGGCAGCGAAAGCAGGTGGAAGCAGCTGTCTCTGTGTCTGTGTGGGCAGCATAGCCCATGGTCGGCAGCATATTTTTCGCTCAATGGGCCCATATACTCGATCGTTATGGACTGGTCATCAGAATAGCAGACGTTGAATCGGCGTAACATAAATGATTGCTTCCGTTCAGAGAGCGAAATGATCATCTGAACAGCTCCTTACATTTTCCCCACACTTGCAGCTTCCAGGGGTTGTTTAATGACTCCCGAGATTGTCGTGTGTACCTGAACACACCGGTTCTTCTTTCCCCAAGCTACCTCCCACTGTCAACACATGCACTTGATTCATGCAGGCGGTGCAGGACCCGGGCCCGGAAGCAGTGTCCTTAGCGGCAGCAAAAACACCCCGTCTCCCCCCGCCTCTGTCTCCAGGCGGCGGGGGGGTGCGCGAAGCAGCGGCACCAAGGTCGCCGGCGGGGGGTCATCGATTGCGTCGGCGACCGTCGAGGAGATCGCCGCCGCTTCTGCCAAAGGGGGCCGCCACCGTCGCCTTTGGGGGTTAGACGAGGACCAGAAGCAACATGCGTCGTCTTCCAAGCAGGGCGAAGAGCTCGGGATTTCCACCCTATCAGTCGTTGTTGCTTCGGCAGAAGGCCGCAGTGATGGTGAAGGAGGAAGCGGGAGTTCCAGCGGTAGCGGCCGCATCGGCGGCAGTGTTAGTGGGAGCAAAGGCAAGGGAGGAGGAGGAGGAGGTGACAGCCTCAACGTCGGTGCCGCTCGAGGTGGCAGAAACAGGCCGTCGAGGAGGGAGGCCGCTTCGAGGGCACTGAAGGCGCTATCCCCTCCGCCGTCACCGTCGTCATCGTCCTCGTCGTCGTCCGATTCTGATGCAGGTACTCTCCTACCCTGCATGGGATATCAACGTTTTTTTAACTCGTGCCGTTGCCTCACATTACCTGCGCTGGCACCCGTTGCCTCAACTCGCCGTAGTCCTTTGGGTGTGACGGCACACGTGGAACTATGCGGGAAAGTGTCCGTTCTGCCTGCTCCACTTCGGACCCTACTCCCCCTCGACACTCCGCACGACCCTCGGGTTAGTTTGTGTCCGCTCTATGTCATCAAGGGTACAAGTACAAACTTTGTTGTTGACAACGTGAAAACGAGGCTCCTCCAAAGCGATCGACAAGTTTTCAGCAGCCGCTTCCCTGGTTTATGTTCCACTATTGCGAACTCACAAACTAGAGCCAGGTGGTTTTCGAAGTTACCAACTGTACCACCGGAGCGCCGGGACGGCAATAATATAAAATGCTCATGTCCTCTTTTTTGCTTACAAGGCCAGAGCCCCGAAAACAAACGGCGGCGACCGCCCCCCCCTCCCTCCAACGCATTTGACAGAATCGAGCGCCAGCAATCGGCAGCGCCCCCACGGCAATGCCGGCGGTCGCAAAGGCTCCTCGCACCAGACCACGGTTCCTGCTGCAGCCACAGGTTCTAGAGAAGAGGATAGAGCGGAGAAGAGCTCGGAGCAGAGGAAACTCAGAGCCCATGTTCAGGTTGGCGAGGCTGCGGGCAGTGTCGGGAGTCTCAGCCAGCAATCCTTCTTCTCTTTCGGTGGGGACGAAGACGGCGGTGACAACGACAACGACGCCGAGTACGTCGAGGAGGACGAGGTGGGGAGATGTGGTGTGGAGGCGACGGGGATCATAATTGTGGCTGTTGTGCTGTTGCTGTTGCTGTTGCTACTGCTGTTGCTGTCGCTGTTGTCGTTGTGCTTGTTGTTGTTGTTGACCTTCACGTTGTTGCTGTCAAACATCCGTTAGGGTGCGTTGATGATCCGAGACGTATCATCATATTTTGAACCAGGCACAAGTGCCCCGTTGATTTCCTCATAGTAAACATCTCACTGGAGGGAGCCGTAATAAACGTTTTCGATCTTCGCAGCAGTTGGGCAAGACGGAAGAGGTAGTGCCAATACCCGAGGAGCCCGTGTCTTTAGTGGGTGCAGTGGGTAGTTCCCGAAGATCGTGGATATGCTCGCAATCATGAGAGAAAGAGGAGGGACGCGACACCGGTGATCGGTTCTCACTTGTATTTGTTCGGTGCCTTCCGACAATGAACACGTAGGAATCAAACGAACGACTCGTGATGATAACAAATGTTGTGGTTGGAGCACAGCAAAACGTTGTCGAACCAACGCAAACGGAACGACGGCCCGCAATCAAGCACCACTTGCAGGAGGAAAAACATGTTGAACGCAATAAAATATTATGAAACATCTCTAGGGAGGTGCGGAGAGCGACAAGGACGGAAGCGAGGAACTCGACGAGGCAGCCAGCCCAACGAGCGATTGCTCGGACGAAGAACTTACCGAGCGCAGCACCAGCGGCGGTGGTGCTGCCCCTACCAGAGGTAGGCAGGGAGCTGTCCCAGCGAAGACGGATAGGCGAGCCCGACAGCAGCAGCAGCAGCAGCAGCTTGGAGATGAGGGCTATGAGAACCAGGAGGAAGGAGAGGAGCAGGAGGGAAAGAGTGGTAGGGATGGAGACCATGGCAACAGCAACAGCGACAACGACTACAATCTCGAGGAAGACGACATCGAGGAGGCGGTAGAGGGGGGCGAAGACGAGGATGGTGGAGAAGAGGATTCGTTGATCCTGGGTAAGGATGACCGTGCTTTCGAGGTTTGGACACTCGAAGACCCACAGGGGAAAATTGCACTTGGGAAGATGTCGGAGGGACTGACCTGAACTTGATCGAACGGTCTAGAGGGGTACATTTCAACTGGAAAAAAAGGGGTACATTTCCTGTATTTTCAGAAACGTGACGCTTTGACTATAGCAACGCAAATGGGGTCGTGAAACTATGTCGTAGCTTTGAGTTCTGGTGTGTTGGGCGTTCTCTTTCCAATGGATGACTAGATTGCCTTGCTTTGGGTCCCGTTTCTGGTTAAGAGCATTCTCCCAGAAAACTCGAACCGATGGACGAAATAACTCCTGTAGGAAAGTAGCAGGATGGTTGCCAAGTACCTCGCCTGACCAAAACGTCATGGATGATATTATCACCGCTTTCTATCTCTCTCAGCTCAAATCTACAAGCAGCTGGTGGCGGCTTCGCAGGCGCGGACCAAGCGCATCAAGAAGCGGAAGACGGATAGCGCCGTGGAAGCCACTCGGGCGGAGTGCCGGGATTACGTCGAGAGGTGAGGCATCTCGGCGCGGTGTTTCCTGTGTAAAATAAGCTGTCGACGACACACACGTGGCAGTGGCGGGAGGTCTAGCCGTTTCGACGAATGATACAAAGTAATGCCCACCCCTCCACGCTTGCAAGAAATGCCTTACATACGTCCCTCACTGTTATGAAGGGCAGTTTGCCCTCCAGATACAGTCTCTCTCTAGCAGGGATAGGAATGTTTAACATCAATCCAAGCACAAGTGCAACAACAATGCAGTGAGAGTGACGAGGACAACCTCTTCCTTAAATCCTGTTGACCTACCACCTGAAAGGCTTTACCGTTTCTGTCTCCACGATCAACCGACCCTTGGCGCCCTCGAATCAACAACAAGCAGCGTGTCTCAAGCGGTCAGCGAGCACTGGCGCCGACAGGCCCAAGACCTGCTGGAGCAGGGGCGGCAGGCGGAGGAGGACGTTGTGGCTGCGAGGGAAGTTGTCAGGGTTCTGACCCTCCAGCACGAGGATCAGCGGCAGGCTGCCAGAGACAGGTACGTACAAGATGCGTATTTCATCGGAGGTTTTGAGTTTCCATCCGGCAAGGTGGTGTGTGGCGATTCTGGGGTCGCCGAAGTCCGGTTTGGGGGGATCCAGCGCTCGCTCGGGTTTTGATGAAAGGAAAATGTTGCCGCAGAGTCCTATTTCCTAGTGCCATTTTTTTTCAAACAGGGGATGACGACCGACGTCCTGCTTTCGCTCATGACGCTCCGGTATTTTCCACTGCATGAAGGGTGGAGAAGCTCGCGTCGACGCTGAAGAGCCTAGAGTCGTACTTTGGGCCGGGTCCCGGAGCTAGCTCTACGACCAAGCTGGAGAACGCATGGCTGGGCGAAGGAGTTGAGTTGCAGCAAAAGCTTCAGAAGCACCGGGAGAGCGCGGTGGCCAGGTGAAGAGTGCAACCGCCTAGGCTCGACCTCTCGCGGGACCGTTGATGAGTCTCCATAATAATGTGTCCAACTTAGAAACGTTCACAGCTACGCCTATTCCACGCCTGTCTATTGCCATAGAAATGCAGCACTACTGTAGCTTATCCCAGTCGATACGCCGAGTCTTTCGCCGAGAGGACCACAGCTGGAAACACCCCTATGGGTCTTCATGCTCTCGAGGTCGGTCGTCATCAATTCCTTGCCGAAGAGAAACCACTCGGAGCACATGGGCCACTGAAGCAAGGTGACGTCCCGAAAACTCCCAGCTCGTGTTTGCTCTGTATGTAGTGGCGTAGAGATGGACTGGCACGCGCACTGTACCCCAAGACCCGGCCAGCTTTTCAGTTGACCTCTCTGAGACGCACATGCAAGTGCGGCAGTTTTTTCCCGCCCATTTCTATGATTTATTCTCTGTTCCGAAGCAGCGGCGACCGTGTACGCCTTCGAAGCTGGCCATGCTCAATGCTGAAACGAAGAGCTAGACGGAGGTCGTGCGGCAAATTATTCAGGGCAAGGGAATATTTTGTACTTCAGCCTTGGCTGTACATGCGGGAACTCACCAGGTTTCCCCTGTCGCGGGACAAGGGGGGCGAGAGATTGATTTCCACGATTGTAAACAATGCTTGAAGAGTCGTTGCGGCAGAACCGTTCGCCCGATTGTGATACAAATATCCTGACATGTCTCGTGTCTTAAGCGTGTGGCACATCATTCCTTTTCGTTCCAGTAACCGGGCGTCACACATTTGTGTGTGTTTGCGGAGACGGGGTGCGGCGCGTGCCACATTTCATCACCTACTGGATCCAATACAAGGGCAACCGGAATATCTTTCGTCGCTAGAAGAAAACATTCTTCAAGGCTTACCAAAAATTGTTGGCTTCACTCGCACCTCCCTATCGCCCCGTCGCCCCACCGTGGACAAGGTTCTCGGTCACACTGAGCTCAAACAAGAAGGCGAACAAGGGAGGACGTGGCGGCGGCGGCGACAGCACCAGCATTGCCTCTCTTCTGAGCCATCTAACCATGCACGCGGAGGGATCATCTGCTGTGTGATCTCGTGTAGCGCAGCGCAGCTTCTGGAGTGGATGCTGCAGAGAACCAACCGGGAGCGGGACCTTACGCAGAGTTGTCGTTTTTTTTTTTTGCATCCGCATCATCGAATGTACTCAGGATTTTTCGAAACACCATGGCAGGGCGTGATTGCACGTCTTTGCCACCAATACACCAAGTGTTGAACACCTAGCGCTACAGTTTGTTCTATCCAGATAGGGCACGAGAGAGTGCGTTTCCCGTGTTGATCTGTATCATAGAAGGAAGCCATTGGGGGCGGAACGTTCGGACTTCTCCCATGAGATTCCGGCCCCTCGAGGCTCAACCTACACTGCTGTGATGGGCTTGTGGTGACGGAACGTTGAGGAGCGGCATCGGGAGGAAAGGCATGACGTTCGTGTGAGCATCTGAGCGTTTTCTGCTTGTACTGGCACGAATACAGCTTAGAATACATGTTCCCGAGAGGAGGGCATGTGTGGCTTAAATTGTAGATTCTGCATCGAACTTGGGGGATAAGTGCAAGCCTTTTAGAGTGTGCAAACCTGCCAAGTTGTATGGAGGCAAGTTATGGTGTTCGGTTCTTCTCGTTTCGTGTGGCAGCATCGGCTATGGCACTATATTGGATGGTTTCTATTTCGTGAAGCAGCAGTGGCCATGATTTTATATTTGCTTTTTTTTTGGCGCGTGGATGCTCACATGCCCAGGAAGTCTGCATGTAGTTCGGAAATCCTCGGTCTGAGCGGGAAATACAGGCAAGTGTTTGTTAGGGCCAAGCGCCGGCAGCAAAACACATCGTTGATATGTATGAATGGATTGAAGGGGTCGATGAATGATGTTGGTCGACGAACCGGACGTTTAGGGGGGTGGTTGGCTGTGGTAGGACGAAGAACTCGCCAGTTTTCGAGATGAAGAATTGTCGCTTGTTGTCACGGCGCTCGAAGAGACATGACGTCTACATACTACGTTTTCAATCGCTTTTTTCTGTGCTAACAAGATGGGTGCAACACATAATTATCAATCGCAAGGTTCTTGTGGGCACAATTCTTCCCCTATTACTTACTCGCACCTCAATCGATGGCAGCCCGATGTTTGAGAACGTCCCGGAGTGAAACCAGAATGAAATACAGGAGTCTAGACGTGAAAAGCTCGGCCACGCACTACAAAGGGCCCGCTGAACCATGCTCGCGTTACCAGCTTCAGGCGAGCACCGCAGGAAGAAGGTACAACTTCGTCCTGCTTCGCGACGGCTGACAATGCGCCAAGCATTACTAGAAGATATAGACTAGCGCTCAGGTTATATGGGGGGAGACGCGGTATAGAGACATTCATGTTGATACATTCTGTAGTGCGCATCTGCATCGTACACATGTGTAGTAGCTTGCATCGCATGTCTCATCTGCAGACCGACAGGTTAAAGTGTGTATGATCTACCCTGTGCTGTGTAGGCTACAAACATGTTATTTGTTGTCTCTTCGGGATTATATTCTTCGGAGTACCCACGTAAGTTACCGACATTTCAAGGTGTTCCCTGTGTTTCTTGCGCGAGAGAACGCCGCCAACGGCCAACGGTTGACGCGTTGACGCCGACGTGACATTCCGCCGCTTCTGAAACGTCACAAATCGTCCCGCTTCATGTACGCCGTCGTACCGTACACGCATGCCATGCGAATGCAGTAGTTATCTTGCCTTCCACTCTTTCGGCCTCGATGCTACACAACATGCTCACTAAGTAGTGTGTGTTGCCGTCTTGGCGAAACAAGTCAACCTGTTCATAAGCACCACCTGGTCCCATCCTTGACGTGAAGGCTTCCAAGATCTACAGGTATGATTGGCAGCATATGTCGCGAAAGCTGAAAGCTCTGTACTGAAAGACTATGCACGTCTGAGTCGCGACTTTCTACAGTACTACATATGCGTATCTTGAAATACCCTATGATCATTTTCTGGGTAGATATCCCGTCAGACATATCCTGGCTGAAGAAGTCGTTCTCTCCTGCCTCATGCAATGTCGACCACGACTGACCCTGAACCCTTTCCGGTTGCTCAATGCTTTCATGGCTCGACCAACATCCTCGCTACTGGCGCGGCAACAGCAGTTCATCGACGGCAAGCAACATGGAAGACGAACAAAAGCAGCTGACGTCACCTCCCGTGGTGGAAACGTCCTCAGCAATGGCAGGAGCTAGCGCAGAAATCTGGAGTAATAGCAACGATGCTGGCATTGCCAGCCCTGACGGATTCGTTCACAAAGAAGGCCGAAAGCGAGACCAACAGCACGGACGCTCTGCAGCAACACCTACACGAGTCAAGACGTGCGTATGACACATCACCGGAGGAAAGAAACACATCGATATATGGGAGGCTTTGCTGTACCTGTACAATTAGTCCACAAGACAAATTATTGGGGAAAGTGCGCCTGTTTTTTCCCGCTCAGTTTACTGTACCAACTTCCCTCACTCCCCCCATTTGTCGGTGCAGGTATGCATTGATTGTTGATGTATTTTCTTTGTTCCTACTGTATACCCACTGCATGGTCTACATGTACACTTCCATGTTTAGTATTTTATGTGGACCATAACTCCGGGGTGGAAGAAGAGAGACTGCAGCGCGCCTAAGACGGAATGGCATGTGGCATTGTTCACCACTACGCAGGCAAGACCTCCAGACGAAGGACTTCAACTACAGCAGGGTCAACAGCAAGCTCCGCCGACATCAGCAGGTAGACTAAGTGGAACCAAGAGCGAGAGTAGAGGTTGTGTAATTGCATCGGTGCTCGAAACATGCAGCCGATGTAAGCCAAGAGCCGTTGCTATGGGGAGGCGTCCTGCGGCCAAATAGCTGGAGACTCCAGTACACAAACACTACACGCAGGCCAAAGTCAAACCTCACATAAATTCACAGATGCTTTCACGAAACCTGTGTATGTAGTCTATGTCAGTACAACGTGATGCATTCCATGCATGTATGGGGGATTCATGTTGTCGCATTTAGTCGACCGTAGCAGGTTTGATTTACCGTAGGGCGAGCGATGCATCACCTCAAAAACATTGTGAAAGCTTCATGTCGCGGGTCATCTGCCCCCCCCAAGGGGAGTACGCCATGGACCCTGGATACGTGCTCGACGGCATCCCATCACCCCCTCCCTCTCGTTGATCCCGGTGTAGATAGACCACTTGGATAAAAGCCTGAGAGAGGAGCAAGAAACGTCGCGACGGCTGCGGTCGGCGGTTTCGATTTTAGAGGGCAAGCTAAACGTCGCAGAAGAGGGGCGGTGCCGCTCCAATGGATTGGAAAGGGCATTTTTCAGTCATCTCACGGAAGTCGAGGCGTTGGTGCTCCAGAGGGACCGGCTCATGGCTCCAGGTGGGGCCTCAGAGCAAGGCAGGCCCTTCTAAGTTCGGTGTACTTGGAGGATCATGAACATACCTTTCCGAGATATCTGTGGGTAGGTGGAGGAACTACGGTACACCTCATTTTATTCCGGGATCTAGACAAATGGCTTTCGCTAGTACTGCATACCTTTCAGGCAAACGTGGGAAGCAACGAATCCATCCATCTAGTCTCCGCGTGTTTCGCGAATCACGTGCCTGCTTGTGTTGCCTTCACCTCCCCCCCATTGCACGCAGGTGCGGACGAAACTCGAGCACAGTGTCTCGAGGCAGCGAGAAGGGAGGCACACGAACGGCTGGCCAACATACTTGGGCGAGAACTGGGGAGAAACAGCGCCAGGAGGTGATAAAGACGGCACATGAAGCGGGCTCTGAAGCTCTTCGATATACCTGCGCACCCATCACTCCCCGTGGTACTGCCCATGCAAGACATGCCCTTGGTTCGGCTGTCTTGGCTTCTGGACCTTCCATTTCGCACGCCTCGGGCGGTGCCCAGGGCGGAGTTCATTAGGCCCGCAATGATAAACATATTTCCACCTACCTTACGTAGATGGGACAAATGGCTGGGTGACTTCAAATATGGCTCGATACTTCGGTAAGGAAGGGATGAAATATCTATAAAGAACCGGGGCCGAGTTGCTCAAGATCCGTTCGGTTTGCCTTTGGTTTGCCGACCCACCATCCGGACGTGTTATCGCTACAGGTCTGACGGGGCGGTTGATCCCAGAGACTATTCTTCTTCCAACTCGACGGCAGTCCACCGGACAGTCGTTCGTACTCCAGCTCAAGAGAAGTCCGTTGCCGTTAACGCCCGGCAGCAAACAAGGAATGATTTTGACGCCACCGTAAACCCAGCTTGGGGCAGGCCAGAGCAAGCAGATCGGGAGCGCCATCGAAGCCCCGAAATACCTTGTCGCCGGAACAACCAAGGCAAGCACCGTACCGATTACAGATATTCCCCTGCATCACGCGAGGGAAATCAGACTGAAATTGGGCTATCTGGTAGCATGAATGGCGTGGGTTGTCCGCCTCCTCCCTCCCCGAGTTGCTGGGAGTCGGACGCCGTGATGAATGCTTACCGCAGCGCAGCAGCAGGGGCGGTTCGAAGGATGTCGTCAGCGTTGTTCGGCCAGGAGCTGCTAGCCGTGGAGGCTGCCCGAGCATCGGCAGCCGAGAGAGAAAGGATGCTCCAAGAGGAGACGAGGGCGTTGCTTGATTCTCAGGTTCGTGCCACGGTCTGGAATGGTACATGTGCGGCGAGTCGGGCCGCCCGGCGGCGGGTTTTGCCGGCAATGCCACCTTGGGGGTCTACATGTTGACGTTTCCTGTAAGGTGCGAGTAGGAAAAATGCCAGAATGTACACGCCGTACGCATGAGCAAATATATGGTCGTGTCAGCTTGTGGGTTTCGGGGACAACGAGAGCACCTCAGTTGGTTTGCGGGTACGTCGATTTTGAGGGCATCGGTCTCGCGATATGCTTCTTGATCGCTTGCCGGAGGGCTTGGTTGTCGGTGAAGACGGTGGGCGCAGGCACGACATCCCCGGGGGATGGGATGGAAAGGGTCAAGGCCGCAAGTTGACACGAGCTCAGTTTTGAGCTCCTCTGCCGGAACGCAATAACCCGCGGTTTGACCGCGTTCGCGGCGATCTATTTTCAAGCCGCCTCCGTGGCATAACCGAGTACATCGTCTTCCGGATGCTACACATGACGCCTTGCGTCCGCAAATGAACGTTCTTCGATGGCTGCTCGTTGTCGTTGCACTGCGCAGTTGCGGTTGTCTGTGGTCACATTGAGAGAGGGGACCGTGCTGTTGGTGGGAAACTTCGTCGCATCAACATCATGGTGTGGTCATCGTATCCAACAACGTTTGACGGAACAATGAACACGTCGTTACTCTCAGGTTTCCCTCCAGGTGGAGAAAGACCAGCTAGAAGGTGTCAAGGCCGGCTTGCGGGCGGAGGTGATGACATGTTCATACGTAACCACCACTAGCTGACGCACTTGCAACAGGGATTCGGGGGGTGGCTGTGGGCAAGCTTCATCCGATGGTCCCACTGGTTACCGCCCTTCAGGCCGAATAAACCTGCCCTGGTGCTGAAAGATGTGTGGCTGTTGGAACAAGTTGCCGTGGAGGCTGAATTCAGCCCGACCAAGCATCAACCATTCAGACGGAAATGAAACCGTTCAAGTCCGGACATACATGCTACTTTTCCCTAGGGAAGGAGTTAATGGGCTGCTGTAGATTGGCTTCCTTGCGTTTTCATCGATGAAACGGGTCACATACAGTATCAAAGCAGATATCATCCGTCAAACGCACACGACAACGATTTTGTCCTTCATGCACACGAGTGTGTTGAATCAATCGCTCTTAGGTTCGCGAGGCTAAGGCAGACCTGAAGAAGGCGAAGGAGAAAAACAGGCAGCAGCAGGACATGGTCAAAGATGCGGAGCGCGTCCATTCCAGCCTCAGCTGGCGTATCCTCTCCATGCAGGTATCTAGACTACATAAAACTTTGTTTCAATCCTGTAGACTACTGGTTCAGAGCCTACCGAAAGACGTGCGCAGAGAGAACGTTTGACTCGGACATGTGGAAAGCTTCGCCCACGCCCACTGTGTAGCTTGTGGTAGAGTCATCGCAGTGTCCTCGTTTCATTCTCTGGTGTCATTGAATCATGGTGCTCGCGTGTCTCACTTTTCTCAATCACTGCCGTCTGTGTACGTGTAACCCTTAGACTCGAGACCCCCACCACTTCGTTCGTTGGTTTGACTATGCCGTTCTGGTCCGGAATCGATACTGCACGCTGCGAGACAACGTACTGTAGGGTACGGCGGACGTGTTGGTATCAACAAACACACCGCATGTCACGACTTCGCAAACAATCAAATTTTGCAACAGTCTGCCCGCCAGAGTGGTCCATCTTGTTGAGAACTGTACTCAGCCAAGCGCGTGAGAGGCTAAGTACACCCATCAATCTGGAATGGGTTTTTGATTTGGCGTTGTTGTTCAATCTACCAGGTCGCTCGAGACGAGCTTTCACAAGCGGTGGGGGAACGCCTGTGCGTCATCCAGACCGCCGTGAGCCGGCGTGTAGGCTTTTTGCCGCGGGCCGTCGAGGGCGCTGTTAACGACCTAGTTGCCTTGTGCTCTGCACCTGGCCCGTCTGACGGCGAAATGGTCGACGGCAACAGCACCAGCATCGAGAAAGGGCTTCTGCTGGCTGGGAATGGTGGCTCGAGCGCGTCGACGAGCACGTCGAGAACATCCTCCCACAAATCTTCGTCGTGATGATGTTTTCCGTCTCGCGTGGCAGCAGATGACTGACATTGACGCGCGTTCTTCACCGAGCACTGTTCGGGATCGTCAAAAGTCGATACATATTCGAGCAAACAAACTTCAGGCGCACAGCGCCATGGGATACATCGAAATTCAAGACTAACAACAATAACAAACGCAACGCAGCACTCCCGCTGCACTACATAAAAAAATATACATGGGGTGCGTCGTTACGGCAAAAAACAATGGACACGCCGACCAAGCGAGAACCGACGGCTCGTTGTCCACACATTTGCTGTCGATACGCAGCGTCATCCCCTTTTTGTTAACTCCAAACAACAGAGTACAACCAGCATTCGCAGTTCTAAGCCCACCCAAGCCGTAGACGTCGCAGCGGCAGCATGACTGAAGCAACATGATCATGGATCAGTGCCGACGGACTTTGGGAGATCGGCACGAGAACCCCACTCCGACCATGACCCGTCGTAAACAGGGGAAAGTTCCGCTTTTCTGCCCGCCAGCTCGAGCGCTAATGTGAGCACCGCCGCCGTAACACCAGATCCGCACGTCGTGGTGATGGGGAGGGGAGAGTCGACGTCGACGCCCGCGTCTTCGAAAGCCTTCCGGATCTCTTTGGGAGATCGAAAGCTGTAGAGTGGTTGCGTTTCAAAATAAAAAGTTCAATTCATCAGTGGGGGTGGGCGAGGTGGGAGAGAGAACATGAGAGAAGTGCGGCTGACGAGCATAGGCATTTCGCGACAGAGCTGTGGTGACGCAAGGTACAAACACTACACATGAGCGATGAGCGTGTTACGTACATGTGGCGAACGAACGTGCAAACGCATTCTTCGCTGGTGCCCTTTTCAGCTATGTGAAGGGCGTGACATTTTAGGCCAGACAGCGACTAGTGGGCAACCCCGCATCTCTGTTGCCGTGGGGAAAGAGAAAAGGGGGGCGTTTGGCGTTCCCGACCGTTGGACCAAGCAACCTCTTATGAAGTCAACATGACTCTACCATCGGGTCCATACATATCTCACGTGTTCGATTTCCAACACAAAATCCTGCAATGGATGGGGGACCGAGGCAAACATCTATTGGCTTCCTCGAGCGGCGGTATATATCAATTCGTATTTCTGTGCTTCCGATGGTGCATGCTGATGTCGAGAGTACGATATCAGCAACGAAATTGACGTCGATGGGGGTGGCACGCAGCCAATTTGCAACTACACAAAAGTTGCACAGTCCCGTTTAACCACAAACTTCTTTGTCACCTGTTAACGTCTCCATCCACCAAAACCTTGGCGAACGGCACACACGCCGACCCAGGGACGTGGCCCCCTGCAACCCCAGCCCTCGGCTCTGGCGCCTCAGCCTTGAACCTCGCGAGGGATCGAGCGTCTACCACCTGCCCGGCGGCCTCCTTGCCCTTCTCGCTCTGGCTGAGAACCTGATGCGATATCAAACACGCCCGGAGTCTCGGTATCGTGGGGTTCGGCGGCTGTGGATGTGGTGCTGGCTGATCGATAAAAGCCGCCGCTGTAACTACCCAAGGTATCTGCGAATATCCTAGCGCAAGGTGCGGAAGGGGCAGTTCAGAGTCCTGCGCGTTTCGCCCGCGAAGCACCCGCCCGGGTATACCTGTCGCCAGGTTCTTAGCATGGGTGCGTTCAGTCGTCCCTGGAAGCCCTTGGACCTCAACATCCACGCGTTGCCGGACGTTTGTACCAGGCCGGAAGACGGCCGCGTGCTCACTGGTTTCACCTCGCCTCGCTCCACGCTAACGCAGTTGAAAGGGCAAAAGCCGAGCATGAGTAGAGAACACAGCCACGAAACGGCAGTGGCACGTAAACACATGTACGCACACTTCGAGGCAACATGAATGTACAACAGCCGACTACTTCCCTCGAGCACTCCTTTGATACACTTGAGTTGGTTGATGAGGGCAAAATAGCAAACACAAAAAATGTGCCGCCCCTGCGATATCCATCCAGCTACACGCACAGCAGTAGGTGGATGCACAAGCACGTACGGGACACCAAAGACCGAAAGAAATCGTGGGTCCGTTGATTTGAGAGCTGGTACCCTTGGCTGCGCACAAAGGATTGTTCACAGGAGTGAAAAAAAAAATGATATACACAACGTCTGAGGCACCGAATTTGCTTTACGGCCTTTCCCATCTACCAACGCTGGGATCGTGTCCACCAGGCTACGGCGTGGGTTTTGGGGCATCCATCGCGGCACAGATCGACTACCAATATTGCATGGAGCAAGGCAAAGGTGAAGAAGGATGTCACTGTGTTCAAGCTTACTGGGCGAGAGAGGTTACCTCCCGCCAGCTGATTCCCACGCGGGGAACCCGCCGTTGAGCACGTGCACCCTCTCGTGCCCGAAGGCCCGGAATGTCCACCAACAGCGAGGGGCACTGAAGGAGCCCTTCTTGGCGTAGACCACGATCGTGTCGTTGCTCGACAAGCCCAACTCCGACGCCTTCGCGGAGAATACATCTTCGGAAGGAATCCTGGACGAGTCCGGGAGTATGCGGGGAGGCCGGGGTTTCGTCTGTCAGCGAGAAAAGGTTACGTCTGTCAGCAAGAAAAGGGTGCGAGGTCAAAACAGAAAAAAGACGGGGGAAGGGGTGCAACAACGCGGCGCAATAACAGCGACAAGCAGAGGAGAACTTACATGTGAGGCAGGGGCACCCCTGCGTCGGCAATTTGATCGATGTCGAAAAACACCGCTCCCGGCAGATGACCCTCCTTGAACTCCTCTTTCGCGTTTCGGTCCCCGCCGAGGTGCCAGGAGGCATCCACGCAGCGGATCGAATCGGGAGACTTGGCCAGGGCCTCCTTAATCTTGAGTGATGTTTAGAAACCGACGCCGTGGTGAAAAGAGAAGTTCGGGCGAAGATGGGGCGCCAATATAATGTTTGCCTTCCGAACCAAAATGGTTGCATATGAGATGGATCACAATTACCACTTTGAACCACCGGGAGCCGGAGGAATATCTAGCCCATCAGACAGGTCCCATCGAGACGCCTCAGGTACAGATCGGCATGTTGGGTGTGTGGCAACTGAGAACCTCCGTTCGTCCGTCCAGATCGGAGGTCCGTTTGCCCAAGGAGAGGATCATTCTTGCTTTGGTGACCTCGTCGGACGGCAGCAGCCCTCTTGGTTTCAATAGGTACCAAAGACGACACACCAACATACTGCTGCATTTCGCAACAATCTCAATCTCTCAGCAGCGAAACAGAGGGAGGGAGTTGTGAGAAGGCTGCGGAGAGGTGAACTTCGCTTCATCGATTGATTGCGGGATCGAAAAACACCGAAGAAGGGATCCTGAACGGCACTAAATTGCCCTCTTCACAGGCATTGAATAGAAGTGCCGCCAATTTGGCGCCGACCGGGGGACGACGAAAACGGTTAAGGGAGGGATTCCAACCTATTCTGATCTTGGCTGATCTCGAAAAAAACGCAAGAGCACCATGAGATACACAAGACCACTTGGAAGGCATCGGGAAAAACAGAAATAACTGATTTAGGGCGGCAGTAGAGGCTGCTCAAAGCATGAATATCATGAGTCTAGCTCCACACTCCTCCTTCGAAATCAAGATACAAATCACACCGGCCCAAACATCATGACGAGGCGTCGTGTGTGCTGGCGCGCTCAGGTTTGCTGCTGAGCTGAAATATCGAGGGTCGTAGTAGCGGCCTACAATCTCCGCAAATCTCCGCAAACTCTCGACTTAAACCCCGTGTCTTGTACTGCTTGTGCTCGCCACCACTGACCCGTCGGTTTACAGCAGCAGCTGATGCACTCGTCGTTCAGGGTAGCGGTCCGCGGCGGCGAGCGCAAGCAGTACAAGACATGGGGCGTCGGTCTAATTTGCGGATATTTGCAGAGATGTAGGTCGGTACTTACTGCAGTATCCATACGACCCTCGATATTTCAGTTCCAGCAGCAAACCTGAGCGTGCCAGTACACACGACGCCTCGCCATAGTGTACTCTAGTGATACCAGTACCAAGGCGCAGTTCGACACGGCGTTTCGTATATTGGAATGAAAATAGAGCCAGCGCCGTCAGAAGGAGGTTGGGATCACTCTACAACGCCCAACCTGCATCTGACAGTTTAGCGTGGATGGATAACTTCTAAGGTAGGTGCTATACTATGTAGGTTGTGTCGCCGGCAAGAAGCGAGGTTGGCGTTGAAAGGAAAATAAGTACACTTCGATATAAGGGTGTTACGAATAGGATTTTGGAGATTGAGCCTACGTAGGTCGCTGTTGGGTGGTAACAGTTGTTCGTCCAGGTCTGCATCGGGACTGACTTGTCACCTGGGATGCGCGCGCCAAACGGGTGCATCTCGGGGTTGCTGGGTGTATGTGTGTCCCCTGGGTGCATCCGATTCTATACTTTTGTCCGTCCTTGGTTGGTATCCTTGACAATCCCCCGAAGGAATGCGGGAGAATTAGACGTAGACTATATAAATATCCCCAACACAGTCCGCCATTTGCCAAGAGGCTTTGTAGGCGCGACAATCCTATTCAAGCTACTCTTGCTTATGCGACGCCCGACCAGCCGACAGCATATGACATCCGCAATCAAATCAGACGAAGGCTTCCCAAGGCAAACACTACTGTAGTACCAGGCATGCAATGTTCGTGTAATTATCGTTTCCAGTCAAGGGACCCGGCATGTCGCACGCTGAGTCTAAAAACCAACAGTCCCGCCCCACCCACAGGGCACATATGCACACCTCCTGTGTTGTGACCAGAGGGCTGGAAAACATCGTCGTCACTGCAGCAGTAGTCGCCATCCTGCTGCTGCTGCTGCTGCTGCTGCTGCTGCTGCTGCTGCTGCGGCTTGTAACACCCACCGCCGTGCCCCTTGCGACGATGATGATGCCCGCCGACTTCGAAAGCAAGAGGGGGCGTCGGAAGAGAAAGGCGGTGGTCATGGTGAAGAAGGTGTGATGCTGCACCAAGTGAAGCAGCAGAGTACCCAACAGCGAGGTTATGCAGCGCATCGCATGTCGGGTTGAGGAGAACCTAACCTTGCGCTGTAGATCAACACCGGAAAAAAAAAACTTTGGGTTTGCATCAACGCACGGTGGGATTTCTCCGCACGGGGAATGAAAAGGAATCTACCCCCCTCCCAATATGGTCTCCACTGTGTGGAGGTACAAAGGCATATGTAGTCGATACGCCAGGCTGGTTGAGTGGCGTGCACTGCCAGGAACGGCATGTTCGCCTTGGGAAGATATTCTGTAGTACCATGCCTCGCTCCGAGAATGGCTGCGGCGCCATCACCCCCGCCATCTAGACTACAGCGGACGGGTTGCCGCCCGCCAAGTACATTGGACAACATCTCGACGAGCACGATTTGTTCACGCGTCAAATAAATGTGGGCGATCTCTTCCTGCTCTTGTAGCTGCGCCCGCGACCACAAGCCGCTCGCTGCGACGGCTGAAGGGGTGGCGGGTTGCTTAATAACACCAACAAAGGTGCGTCAACACCACGCGGTCCCCGTCGCCGTCATTTGCTGAGCCTTTTCACTGCAACCGTGAGCTCCCCCGGCACCCTTGGCACCGCCGTGCCACTAACGCCGGGTCTCCGCATAATTTGAATCGAAACCGCAATTCATTGGAGGCATGTCGGTATGTAGCGGTCGTAACACGGTGCTGCCGTGCCACGAGATATTCATTCGAACCGCTAGCAGAACATTCCGCAAAACAGGGAACCCATAAATGAGACCACGACCGGAAAATAGCAGCACAACAACGTCTTGGATGGAGTACTGTAGTTCCACAGGGTGAGCGACACAGAGTCAGCGGGAGGCCGAAAAATGAAACATAGGTCGCGTTTTGATGGAGGCAATCGACGACCGGGACTGCATCACGTCGTCGTCACCCTGTATAGAAACACCGCTTCGGAATGTAGCCTTTGAATGCATTTACTCACAGTTTAGTAGATGATCTATTGTAGGATGACATCGATTGCTGGATGCTACAGAGAAGTTCCAGCTGCTCCTCTGTGAGAAGCACCACGCAAACACTGACTGAAAAAAAAAACAAGAAACGAGGGACGTGTTCGCAGTATCATCATGTTGTTTTGCCTCAAGCTGCATATCCATAGCATGGATCCCGGCGGTTGCCAACGTGTGAAAAGCTCCCGGTGCGCGTACCGGGGCGCTGCACACAATCTCCAACAAACGCGTACGGGGTGGGAACTCATTCATCGTAGAGGACACGAGTTAGTGTTCCGAGAGCGAAACATGCATAACGCACATGACGGGCACAGACGGCGTCGAAGCGTATTTTTGTGAAAAATGTTTTCCAACTAACAAAAATAACGTAGAGCAAAATAGAAAATTATTTTTCTATGTAGCAAATGTGTCACTGCTGTCGTTTCTTCAACCGAAAACGCCGCGAATGACCTGTTCTTAAACGTGCAAACCTTGGCCAGAACAATCCCCACCCAAGCCCTCAAGAATATTCTCCTGAAATTCATAAGCCGCCTCAATTAGAGCGAACAGCCCCGACGCATCAAAAACAAAATCATGACATGTCCTGTCTCATGACGTCGGGATCAAATATATGAATGATCGATCCACCTCCAAATCAGACACCAAACACACAAGGCCTCCATAGGTCGCATGTAATTGGTGGATGGATGTCGAGAACGCACAAGGCCAAAGCGAAGAATGCCAAACCAGCGAGACTAAAACCACATGCCGGCGATACCACAATCCAGTTACCTACATAACTCCCCTTTTCTCCGTTCGCCGCTCCGTATTCCCCGGGTGGATTCTGTGGTTATCTACTGTCGCAGCTCTTCCGTTGCTGTTTCATTGACTCTATCGCAAGTCGAACCACTATTATAGCTCGTCGGATACATTGTGTCGGCGGGAAGCGTGGCGATCAGCGTCAGCATCAAATCGCAACTTGTGTACGCCGGTGTGAAGAGACTTTCAGCCTCCCCCCCCCGGTGTTTGCCATCGGGGTTGGGTTTTCGTCGCTTGGCGACGACGTTGCAAAACAAGCCCCCCCCTCGGTGTTTGCCATCGGGGTTGGGTTTTCGTCGCTTGGCAACGACGTTGTAAACCAAGCCAATTCACTTCGTGAACTCGGCAACCAGGATACTGTTTTTTTTTCCTCTGCTTTTCTTTTTGTCGTCACCATATTGGTAGTCGAGTAGGTCGTGTTGTGCGGAGTGGAGAACCTTCACTCCGTGCAAGGGGGACGATCGTACCACGTTGTGTTAAAATGGTCAAGCACCCTTGAGGCAGTTACACAGTGCTTACAACTGTCTCTGGAAGTGAAAGCACCAGAAAATAAATTAAGTCATACGTAGCTGTCATCCGTACGCAAGGAAGTAACCACAAGATGCCGAACACCCTTAGCAGGATGCAGCGCACCCTTCATGCGACTCGCCGAATACCTCACGGCGCTTCGCGCTTGGTGATGTGAGAGCCTGGTCCGGTGAGAACCCGGCGTGCTCCGTCCCGGCTTTGTAGGGATGCGAGGTCAATGGTCAAACGACTACGGCATGCACGTCGATGAGTACGCCCCCCCCCCCGTATATACCTCCCTCCCTCGGTGTTTGCCATCGGGGTTGGGTTTTCGTCGCTTGGCAACGACGTTGTAAAACAAGCCGCCCCCCCCGGTGTTTGCCATCGGGATTGGGTTTTCGTCGCTTGGCAACGACGTCGAAAAACAAGCCAATTCACTTCGTGAACTCGGCAACCAGGTTACCGCTTTTTTTTTTTTACCTCGGTTTTTTTTTTGGCGGTAACCATAATGGTGGTCGAGTAGATCATGTTGTGCGGGGTCGAGAAACCTCACTCCGCGCAACGGGGGATGATCGTACCACGTTGTGTTAAAATGGCTAAGCATCCTCGAGGCAGTTACACAGTGCTAACAACTGTCTCTGGAAGTGAAAGCATTAGAAAATAAATTAAGTCATACGTAGCTGTCATCCGTACGCAAGGAAGAAAGCACAAGATGCCGAACACCCTTAGCAGGATGCAGCTCACCCTTCATGCGACTCGCCAAATACCTCACGGCGCTTCGCGCTTGGTGATGTGAGAGCCTGGTCCGGTGAGAACCCGGCGTGCTCCGTCCCGGCTTTGCAGGGATGCGAGGTCAATGGTCAAACGACTACGGCATGCACGACTATGAGTACCCCCCCCCCCCCCCCCCCCC